AGAGAGAGAGAGAGAGAGAGAGAGAGAGAGAGAGAGAGAGAGAGAGAGAGACGAGACGTGACTCCGATGGAAAAACTCTACTGCAGCATACCTCACAAAATAGAGAACGATTAGAGAACGACTCAACTCTAAAAACACAACACAATATGTAAAAACTCGTGTTGCAGATTCTACTTGTCTTTCGAGAATTCCTTGTGTGAAGAGTACGTCACAGAAAAGTTTTTCAACATTTTCGAGGAAGTTGACGTCATCCCCGTGGTAAGGGGCGGGGCCAGATACGAGAAGCTCCTCCCACCTGGCTCTTTCATCAACGCCAAAGACTTCGATTCTGCCGAGCAGCTGGGAAAATATCTGCGTGTGTTGGCGAACGACAAAACCAAATACATCAGCATGCTCAAGAAGAAAAACAGGTAAAAATAAAATTTGCTGGGTACATCTCTTTTCAGCAACAAGTGGCTTCGACCCAATTAATTTTGTATGTCCATGCACTTCCCATTTATAATAAAATTGCATGTTTACCAATTTTTATTTATTTATAAGAGGGTGTTTATTATTCATGAATTATTCCTAGTTTATCCTCTCTTTTTTAAATGTAATGAAAATGGTGTGTTGCCTTTTTTTTGGTATAGTTATACTCTATTGGATGCACCCCCTACCCCCCCCCCCCCCTTTTCCCACGCGCTCTTTTTGCCCCGTGATTGGAGCAGCATATTAAAAATTACGTTGACATTGTGCCGTTAGGGGAGTAAAACATTTACAAATGTACAACAATCGTTGTCTCTATCGACTGGTATTTCTTCAGGTACACTTTAGGCGAGTATCCGAAGCAAAAGTTCCCGTGTGAGATATGCAAGGCGCTGAATCTGGGCGAACCGAAGAATGTATACAGAGACGTCTATGGTTGGATGTGGAGCCACTGCTGGGAGCCCTTGGATGTTTGACATATCACATTGTTTAGTGTCAATGATTTGACTTGTATTTATTTGATTCTGCATCAGTCTAATCGTCCTCACTCCCACACAGATGTCATTTTGTTGAAGCCGGGGCTCAACACTATTGTCTTTCAAGAGTCCTACTTTTTATCTTAAGCTAGAACTAGAACGGTCCATGGTTTGTCAGACGACGGACAACGCAAGACTACAAAGAAAAGGTGACACCCTATTTCGTGTTGCGGCGCGTAAAATGCAGGCTTACCTTACCAGCAGTAGAGTTACCTCTTTTCTTCTATAAACCCCTTCAATAGCACAGTAAAATGTCTTAACCACAATGCAATCCCCGACCCACCCCAAGGCAAGGCCCCATTGCGAGTGACGGTCTAGAATGCACCCCGTGTCTGCCTGTAAAGTAGTTTTTTCTGTCAGTATGAAAGTTGTGCATGTAGAAGTGGTGGCTACCAATTTACCCGGGATTGTTTTTTTCTGTTTGTGTTTTTTCAGTAAGTATGGTTGGTATCATGCTTGAATAGCTGTGTTGATGTGATATTGTTATGAACATAAATTGGAATGTTTCGATTTACCAGTTTAGTAATGGCATTCAGAAGATTTTCCCATAGGAGATGTATGCTCTCCATACACTTAACAAGGTCACATCGGAGATACAAACTAGATCAGAGTTCCAGCCTAAATGGCTAGTTAAATAATATACAAGTGTTGCTGTGACAAAAGCAATTGGTAGGATGTAATTTTTGTAAACAAAGTAAGCTGATAACTCTATTTGAGATCAAAGTTAGATTTTGAGGAGTTGATGACGAAGGCAAACAGATTCTTGAGTTAGTCGGGAGAACCCAATGATGATGGAGCCCCTTCCCCAAGACTTAACCGAACAAAGTGTATGTAAGGAACAGGACGAATGCATTGGCTTTTAGATGAGAGATCACCATAGACAGTTTTTAGTGAAAAACACATTTAACTTAGTACAAAAAAGGGACTGCACAATCGTGGCTAGACATAGTATTATTCTATTCCAAAATGTTATTTGAAGTTAAAATGTTTACTCTTCATGACCATGTCATTGTAAAACAAATCAGATCAATAAAATGGTCTTCACTTTCTTTTTAGATCCTCCGTCCAGTGACATTACTGTTCTCACTATCATCATTTCTATCAATCATTTTTGTTAATTTTCAGGACCGGTAAAATCAATCATGAACCTTGCTTTTATCACATTACAGTATTACATTTGCATTTCGAATTCAGTGTCTGTGCTCATATAGGATGGTATCAATAGGTTCTTAGCAACTGTTATACATGTAGTACTTGGACAGTTCAGGTCCTGGAAGAATATTTCCAATACGACATGATGGTACAGGACATCTGTAGTATTATCCAGTTTTTAAATTTGTAAACCAAATATCAGGAAAACAAGAACAGATGTCAAATTCCAATTTGCATCCTTTTTTTCTTCTTTATTAGACCAATATTCCAGCAAAATCAACATCATTAGCAAATAGGCAATTTCATTAAATTAAAGTGAGTCAGGATAATACATCAACAGTGTAAGTCAGGTCATATGACTGACTGAAAGCAAAACATAAAAAGATTGACATACCATGTGTCCAATTGCTACTTTTTATGGTAATGTACAAAGTTCCCACTTCTCAGCAACAAGGTATTAATTTTCCCACAAAGTATATATTGCACCTAAAGTTTGGTAAATCCACAAGAGAACCACATTCTATCATTCTGAAATATATCGTCACCATCGTGATAAGATCGGATTGCTACACAAAATTTTCGATTTTGCTTTTTTTCCATGGCAAAACAAATGCTTACTTGTGCTGCTGTCATACTTCAAATGATATTTGTCCATACTCTACTGAGACAGGTTTCATTTTAAAATCTCTTTACTTTACATAAACTTACAGCTTGCATGTACCCTTGGTAGGTCCTGATTAAAACTCTACTGCTGATGGCAAGACCAGAACTGAGAGTATTGCTCATTGGTAAGAATGACACAAAACCCCTTGAAGCTCTGGTCACGGTACACCCAGGTAAAGGGGGAAAAGCAGTATGAAATCTTGTGTTGTGTGAAATCTGTTTGAGTACGAGCACAGAAAACAGAGGGTACCTCATACATTAATTCTTAAAAACATTTGTTCAAAAGAAACATGGAACAGTCACGAGTACAGCAGCAAAGGACTAGCAGAGATCATTTAAAAATCACAACAACGTCTTGGTCATGTAAGGACCCTCCAACACGTAGCCAATCTTTGCATAGTAGTTTCTTGTGCCCACACCTGAAAAGAAATAAGCAAAAAGAAAATGAGTGTACAGCTTAGGTAACGAATAAACAGTTCTGGTAGTAACAGACACTCCAACACAACCCCCCCCCCCCCTCCAAAAAAAGGGACTAAAAGAGGAGAGTTCAGAAAGAAACTATCATCGTTTGGTATTCTTAGACTAGACCCTGACGGAAGCTTTTCAAGTTTGATGAAGAGGCTTAGAAAAGATCTATAGGGATCAGGAATTTATAAGATAAGATACATCTTTATCGTCCAGATCCTGGCACATTGGTATGGAGAAGATGCAATACATGGAAAATAGGTGCAAGAAAATCAGTAAGAAGATATACTTTACTACTTAATTAAATGTAGGATTGCAGGTTCACTACAAGCAGCAAAACACTGCAAAAGAAGTCTGCCTGCTTTTGATTGTGAGTATCTACATGTGAAAAATAGGTGGCGATGTGGAATGGAATCGAATGTGTGTGTGTATGTATGTGTGTGTGTGTGTTGTGGTGATGGTGGGGCAGCGGGGGTGGGGAATAGTTAGTAAAACGGGTTAGAAAGTAAAAAATAAAAAGCGGTACCCAATTACAGACGTTATAGCAAAGTAAACAAGGCACCTAAAATATACCTTCACAACCCAGTTTCCGTCACAGAATCGAAATCTCTGCTTTAAAAATGGCCTCTTCTGAGCAAATGGTAGGATGCCATCATAATCAACAACAACAAGAACAACAATAAAGAAAAAAAGAAAAAAAAAAAAAAGAAAGGGCAAGTTGTTACAAACTGGCTAACTGACCTGAGATGACAGCAATCTTCCTTGAGCCGTGCTCCTCCAAAGCTATCCTCTCTGCCTCTTCCATGAGCAACATGCCAAAACCCTGAAAGGTGAAGTAAGATCTGAGTTAAAGCCCATAAGCTCAGCTTGAAAAAAAAACCCCCACTTTTAATACATCAATTTCTATATTTAAAAAAAAAAAAAAATCAAAATCAGAGAATAATCTGTCAGTTAAATAGGAAATCAAAACAAAATTATAACTGCCAGAATGTGCACAATGGGGTAAAGAAAAATGAGCTACCTAAGAAAATCATTATAGACTGCACGACAAAAAGAAAAAAAAAACCCAACTAACAAAGTGACTTTGACTGTTTCATTTTGCGTTTTAACCCTTTATATATGCTTCAAAAACATTCCAAAATCAAACTGTATCTTCTTCAACAGTGTTGGTTGGATATTCTAGAAAAACCATTAATTTAAAGTGAATTCATGTAAACAAATCGCTCATACCATAGTTTGATATCCTATGAACAGAACTAATCGCGAACCCGAAGTACCCAATAAGAGGTTTTAAAAATTTTACCTGATGCTGGAACTTGCGAGGGTCTCTAGTGTGGACTGGCACAACACTCCCATAAACGTGCAGCTCCCGGACAATGGAACAGCCGCCTTTCAATTCAGGCCGGAAAGTGTCTGCTGAACACTTCCTCAGACGCAGGAGGCCAATCAAAATGTCCTGTTCTGGATCCTCATAAGACAAAAAAGTCTCCCAGCCTCCGTTTGCCACATAGTCCCGTCGAATGAGCTCAGCCTACATTTAAAAATGAAAGAGAAAATCATTAATCAGAACATGTACTTGTATTTGACATTGAATTACAGGTATTAATAGCGCCAGTCCCAAAGTGGAACAAACAAAAAAGCATTCATCTTAGAGGAAAAGAGAAAAACCTTACAGGAGTAAAAATCTCCAGACATTGGACAGCCATTTAAGTAAATTCCATGTACTTCAAGTTGAAGGCTAAACCTACACCTTTGTAAGGGGTGCACTGATAGCTGAGTTGGTAGCATGATGGACCAAGATGGGGAAGATCCTGATTTGAATCCCAGTTACGGTGTCCTAGAGCTTGGGCTTTCCACTGACTTGGCTTATCCCTTACAGGGACATTCTATTTTGGAATTCTGACCTTGTGTTCACTGGGTATATAGGGGCATTTATCCCATACGATGATACTATACCATTCACAGGGAAACACGGAGGAGATGCGAGGAAAGGGACATGAGAGAGATGAAGCTCACTTGGAACGAGCTTGGAAGGATGGCCCAGGACAGAGATAAATGGAAGGAGCTTGTATGTGGCCCATACCCTGCCAGGGGTGAAAGGCATTGATGATGATGATGATGATACCATTCTCAAGTGATAAACAGCTTTACATTCAATGATTTGATATCAAAAGAGGATTTTAAAATCCCAGGACCTGGTCCAAGATACCACTGACATTTACATAATCTACAACGTTGTATTATGTTAAGAAATTCGGAGTTCCACCAATCTAAACCCCAGACCTGATATTTCAGAGAAGAACATCATGATGTAAGGGTCTTTGCAAAACAACAGCATTGAACACTTATGTTCTCCTTATTGTTTTCAAACATTCTTTGAGAAAAACACACAAAAAAGAAAAATAAAGAGTAGGGTTGTAGTTCAAAGGAAGCACAATAATTCATTCTTTGTAACCTGAAACAGACTCAGACACAAGAACTCCCAACCAACCTGATCAGGTTTCACTTTGTGGTGAAGCTCTTGAATCCCAACCTCTCGTGTCCTTACGTCCCGACACTGAGTACCCAAATCATTCATTCTTGCAAGAGCCAATTCTCGCAGGTTTCCGTGTTCCACTCCACTAGACACTAAAGGCATGGGAATATCTCTGTGGGGTAAGGGAAGGGAGACACAGAAAGGGATACAATTGACTAAAATCATTTGCAAGCTGTATTTACAAAATGCCTAGAATGTCCCGGATCAGAAAATGAAGCCCATTCGAAATTAAAATCCAAAGGGTCAAAATACGAATAACTGCAAAAAGAGCTTGGTGTATCTCATAATAATTAACTAAACTTAACAAGACATGCACACAGCAGCAATCTCATGAGGAATCCTCTGGATGTAAATCACTGGAACTCTAAACTGGGTTATTTTCAAGAACTCTGTGCAGTTGTTTTTTTTTTTTCTTTTCCTATCAAATTGATATAACAGATATAAGTTCATACTAAAAAAAAATAACTAACAAGAAGAAATTCAAATTTAAATCTTGTTACAAAAGGCACATGAATGGCAAACAGTAAAGTTAAAAAATCATCTGCAAAATATAAGGAGCCCAGTGTAAAACAGCTCTTATGATGATTATGAGAAGGCTGGGGTGAACAATCTATGACTGACCTTTGAACTCTGTAAATCCTTGTCCATGGGGGAACGAGAGCCAGAATTCGGGCAATCAAATCAATGAGCTGACTCGGCGGATAGCTTCGGTACCTTCCAGTCTTCCACAGTTCATAGAGACCTATGAGAAGAAAATATTCAATTTTGTTGTTGTTGTTAATCCATCAGCCTTTGAACCTGTGTCCTTCAGCCAAAGGCTTTTGTTAAAAAAAGGTGGAGGTCTTCATAAGTTGTTCTTTCCTGCAGGACAGGGTAGTTTTCAAAAGATAAATTTGAGATATCCATTGACACATTAAATTGAGAGTGCGGTCACCGTACATAAATAAAGGAAAATGCCAACGCTGCCGTCTGACAGGCTGATCAGATTGAACAAAGGTTAGGTCACTAACCTAGTCTCTGGCTGTTGTGCAAGATAGGCCCTGACCCTTCTTACTTCATACATTTTAGAGTAAGAATGGAAACATTATGAACTTGATGTTCCATCCAGCATTGTACTCCAACTTTAGATTTTAAACTTCTTTTTTTGTCCCATCAGTGCCCTTGGTCTATGCAGGGGAGGCTAGAACACATGTTTTTTTTCTTTAATAAAGCAAAACACAATATACAAGGTCAGAATTTTTATCTTTCACTCTGTGAGAAAAAAAACAACCCCAAACCTTCTTGAACTCTAGATGAATCTAAAGTACATATATTGCCATGAACTGAGGGTATAACAATCTCACAAGAAGTTGCTCATAATGAAAAGCTTCAAAGCCTTTGTCCAACCACTTCCTCACAAATAATTAGAATTTTATGGACACATCTAGCATGTAAAAGACAACCGTGCCAGTGTAATTTACCTGTTCCTCTTATCACAAGTGTAGGGTAAATCTTCAAACCATCGGCCCTGAAAGCTGGATTCTCAAAGAATTCCTGACAGGGAAAAAACAATAGAAAGCATATATTTCACGGGAAAGGTTTATATATCTCAAGGACAACATACACAATTTGAAGAGTTGAGCTGAAGTTAATTTTGAGACAGGAAGACATCGTCCTCATTTTGCAGGAACAAATTAGGAAAACGGTGACTTTTCTAAAAGAAGTAGAAGGAACAGACCACAACAGATAGCACCACAAATTTCCCGCAGAGAGTTATAAATACAACACTAAAAATGCTACAATGCAAGATAATCATTTCACCCAATTGAGAGAGGGGGTAAGAGAACACATATATATGCACTAAAGAAAAGATCAAATATAGTACTGACAATAAAACCAACTCCACGAAGCATCATATAGTAAAATTTCAGTAAAGAATACACGACCACCTTGATTAAAAGTCAAAGATCCATCAGCCAAAATGAGCACCTGGCTCCATGTCGTGTGTGTAATATCATACACTATTCATTCTTTGTGCAAATTCAGTCTTCAAAAAATATTTAGAAAATGCTGGCTCATTTTTCTCTTGACTGAGACTGACATTTATCAGAGAAGATAAAGTCAGTCAAAGACAAAGATTTCAGGCTCCTTGATTCAAGACCAGAAGTAGAAACAGGAAAAAGGAAGAGAAGGAGGTAAAGTTAAGAAACAAAGTATATGGTGCTTGTACACCAGAATGAAGATTTAAACCTTTCAATAAAGGGGGTGGGAGATAGAATGTGTCAAACCTGCAGATGAGAGGTAGGTAAACTACTACCCTCAGACTTTGAGAAATATGAAAAAATACAAAGCACAATACCTTACAAACAAATAGTCTCCCATGGCACAAATAGTCATAACACCAACATTTAAAAAAAAAGAGCTGACAAAAAGTTTTAAAACTCACAATGAACTGCTCAATGTCTCTCTCCCAGCCCACGTTGGGAAGATCAGGCATCATGTGAGAAACGACTTTAAAGCCAGCGTCTTTAGACATCTGAAAAGACTCACACACAGCACTCACAGTATGACCCCTGAGGAAAAAACACAAAACAATTCAATATTGCATCTTAATTTATCCACTATATTAAGATGGAAACAGAAAATAAATTAGTATCTACCCTAAAAGAACTTCAAATGAAAATGTCCACATGCAGCAGGACTATGCCTGGTCTCATTATACACACCATATGCAGATACGATTCACACAAGGGAGACTTTACAATTATTATTACACTTAGGTCCATGGGTATGAGGATAAGCGTAATTGCATTATTGCAATTTAAGGTCACCCACCACATTACAGAAGTCTATAAAAGTCAAAAGCGGTATTATAATATATGTGGTCCAGCAAAAAGGTAATGATTGAAAATTACATTGCTGACGGTGCTTTAGATTTTTACACATTTGCATGACACTGACCTTCCCTTGTTTCCAAATCAAGCTCAGTGGACTGTCCACTCGAATGTTTTCTTTTCCCCAATGCCTTTGTGGAGAGCCTTAAAATGTACCTTTTTCATAAAAAGTAAAACATAAAACATGAACTTTAAAAACTAAAATTTAAAAAATAATAAAGTACGAACACAGTTTTCTCCGCAGACATAAAAAAGCCCATCAGAACACAAAGAAATTCAGAGAATGGTAATCCCTATGTTTACCTGTTAGTGTCCCTGGCAACATCCTCATAAACGCTCTGGACTCCGATTTCAAGCCGTGTGCAGCCGTACTTCAACATATCACTGCGAAAGTACAAGCAAAAATTCATTATTAAGGACCAAGACAGATATTTGATGTGGCAGAGTTGTATTTAACAGTAAGTCAGCATGATAAACTGAAACACCCCATATATCTGCAGTCTTAATGTCAAATTCAAACAAGACCCTTCTGAACACCTTTCCACTCATAAGGAGAATTTGATGAACAGAAACCCCTACTGCAGCTACAAAACATAAAGCTAGGTATAGACTTGATACTGACATCAGATGACATGAAAGACACAATCTTCCTCTTCTCTATATGAATGCCAGTTAAAGTCTCACAAAGTAAAGCTGAGATTACAGGTGCTATGTCTGAGTCTGCACAAATTGAGTTACTATTTCGGATTAGAGATTTAAACTGTTCATAATAGACCTGCCAACCACTTCATGAGCAAAAATAAGGGAGAAATCATCCCTCCCCCCCCCAAAAAAAAAAAATTAGAGTTTGAGAAAACAAAAATCACCAGATTCTAAGTAAATTATGATCGTATAACAAATCAACCATGACAAATAAACATGAATGGCAAATACATGCAAATGAACATGTGTATTTAATTTTCATATCATCAACAATAAGTTGCATATGATCTTTAATCTCCATCATGCAAAAAAAAAAATTATTAAAAAATCAGAGAGCTCCAATTTTATCGAAGTCCTTGATATTTCTGAAAGTATGTCTGTATATACTGACAAAAATTAATTACTTATCTACTTACCTCAAATGCTTTTTCAGACAATAATCTGGTCGAGTTTCAATGGTAATGCCTATACACTTTGTCACACTCTTCTCTGAGTACCTGAAACAAAAGTAAATCAAAGGTGCACACAAAGTGCAGAGAACACATTTTGAGCACTTTTTGTTAAAGTGTTGAAAAATTTCAGAAAAATAACTTTTTAGCATGGAAATGATAGATTCTCTTTGTAAATTTGAAGACAGAAGATGTAATAATATTATTCATACTTAGCAGGATCTGACAAATCAATCAGGATGGAGCCTAAGGAAACTGGTTAGCTGTTCCATTTATGCATGGTCAAAGGAGAAACAAAAGCTATGCAAGATCCAAAATGGCTTCAAATGTGTTTGAAATTTTCGACAAGCAGCTCTGGACTTCTCTCAAAATAGTAAAATTTCTAAAATTCTTAAAATGAATTCCACAAAGTACAAGAAACTACTTAACATTTTCCACGGTGAAAAATAAGGAAACTTTGCACACAAATAACTAATCATGTTGGCTCACTTGACTGCCTCTTGTACACTGGAGCTGGTGTGTCCACTGAGAGCATCGTGCAAATTCCTGAAAAAGTACACACCAAATATAAACAGTGTTTCCTGGGATTTATATTAAGAAAAAATAACAGGTCTCTGTGCTTGAAAAGAGGAGTACATAGCTCCAACCAAGGTAAACATGGAGAACAAAAACAATAGAACCACATACCAAAAATGGAACGAGTTGAAAAATGATATGATCTACGAGTAATGGATTTCAGCTTAAAGCTACAATATAAATACCACTGATCGATAGTGACAAAGGTAATGTATACTGATATTAACAAATAACTTGTACTGAAATTTCAATGAATACTATACATTATACTAGCAATAAATGTCAAACAATATCATATTAAGTGCAACCAGGCAAAATGACGGTGTATGAGCTGAAAACTACCAACAATTACTCATGTTTTTAAATGGCATCACATATGCCAATACTAAATCCCATTCACAATGAACAAACACATAGGTAAAGGAAAAAGTATTTTACAAAGCAAACACAGCAGAAAGTGAACAAATGGTTATGAAACTAAACATTCAAGGGAAATTATACATTTTCATTTTTTGTAACTAGTGCATCATTTGACACACCATTTGATGTTGCGCTTGCTCTTATTTGCCATCAATTCAGCAAGGAACAAGTTTTTGCCTATCCATTCAACAAGAGGCAGTAAAAAAGAGCATGCACTCTTCAAAAGTTCTCTACAAAAGTACACGCGATACAAGTAAGACGAAAGCAACAAATGAGAGACAGACTCACCTGATAAAATAGTCCCTGTAGTCATCTGGCAAACTCATGAATGTTCCCCCCATCACAATAAACTCAACCTTGTCCACACTGTGACCAAGTTGCTGGAGCTGAAATTTAATTTTAGAGTCAAAGGATGCTAAAAGTACTAAAATAAGAAATAGGTCGATAAGTTTACTATCAACTCCTTTATGAAAGTGACACCAAGCTTTATTTATCTAGTAAACATTTTCTCTAACCAGAAAGATTAATTTTTTTTTTAAATTGCAAAGTTTAGTGTAATAAAAATATAAAAGATTTTTGACCAAAAAGTTCACAAGCAATAAACAGTCTCTGACATTACTACTTCATCAAGACTTAAGTAGAAGGGACAAATGTTAAGAAAATAAATGTTTGAACAAAAAACATTCAAAAGCAAATGAAAAAATGGGACCATAATGCCATACAAAATCCTCCAAAATGGAGAGTATCATTCCATTTCAGGTGGGTTGCATAGCTTTGCAGGGCAAACAGGAACAATTATAGTGGTAAAGTTACGGGAAATAATGACATGCAGCTACCAACATTTCTTAGACTACCCCTATGTATATGAACAAAAGACTGTCAACATATTTAGCTGATTTTTCTCAAAGATAAATCAAGTCATGTTTAAAGTTTTTTTCAACAAGGCACCAAACCTGTGAATGCTCCTACGGCTGAACTCTAGCACTGATAATTGTGTACTACAGGCGAAAGATCATACTCTTGATAGAAAGACTGGACATATACAATTATCACAGAAAAATTTTCTATTGCAAGAATGAAATATTTAGATATGAGAACCTATCAACTGACAAAAAGAAATCAGAGAATAAAATTACAAAATAAAAATGATTATAAAAACAATACCTGTTCCACTCTGTGTCTTGTCTGAAGGTAGGGATTGTATCTTGCTCTAATGGCTCGCATGGATGTCGGCTAAAATCATCCCAACAAAAATAAAATCAGAACAATATGGAAGGCAAATAACTCAGCATATCATATGATAAACTTACAGAAACTCTGACAATCTATTCCATACCATTATCACTATTGGGACAAAATATGCATGAAAACGTTTGAAGGAAGAAATAAAATCATGAACTTCTCAGAAACTGAACAGTCACCTATTTTTTTCATCTTTGACAGCATGGTCCCTGCCCAGAAAATCATCAGTTTAAATGAAATCCCATTTTCTGAAAACTGAAATTCCCTTCAACTAAGAAAACTAGTGAAATTTTATTTCTAGGATTCCATTGAGTAAATAGGCTGAAGAAGATATACAAATCTAGACTAAAAGACAGATAATAACAATTACAGCAACTGCACAATCTATGACTTAAGTGAACAGGTGAATCAGAAAATGTCATAAGCACCTCATATCCTGTATAAGACTGTGTGGAGTATTCAAAGTCTGAGTCAGGGCCACCAGGACAATATCTGAAAAAGGAAAAAAGAAAATTATCAGTCTTCACTATTATAATATTTCTTGCACAATTGAGAATGCCTTTCCTGTTCTTTCTCCCCTTCCACATCTTTCATCATATTCTTAAATTCAACTTGACAATGAAATTAACTGTCCTTCTCAGGTCTATGGCATACCCATATAACACAGTGATACACAAAATTTACTAAACAACACAAAGATATAACAATTTTTTTTAAAATAAGAAGACGAAACATTTAAAAAAACTGTTTGGCTTTGTGACATGACAGAGCATTGTAAAAGGCAGATTGGGGTGTGTGTGTGTGTGTCTCTCTCCCCCCCCCTCCCCATGTCATAAGGAGAATGAATAGATTAGCCACTTACACACAGATATTTCCTGTCATGGCAATGTGTGGACATCTGTGGGGTTTGCACATCACAGCAACAACAGCTATCTGTGACAGATACATAACAGAGGTCATGGCATGGCTGATAAAAATAATATATAAACAAGTTTTTAAAATTCAGCTGAAAAACTCACATTTTTTCCTAGTTGTCATTAAACGGTCAGTGCAACTGAAAGGATTCCTGCTGCAACTCTTTAAATTGAGTCTACAGAAAACATGCCAGGCATAAACATAAAACTTAAATTACATGGCTCAAAATCATGGGCATGCACCAAAATCTTCAATTTTTGTTTGTTCCACTTTTATATACAATTAATGACCATCAAACACGGTAACAATATATAACACAAACAAGCCAGTTTCACAAAATACCCTTTAAACACAAAACACCCCAACCCATCCTACCCACACAGTTTTCAGGAAACCATATGTCACGATCGACTTTGGGCGGTCATTTCCTTCAAATACAAAACAAACACTGGAATATCCGAAAATCAGAACACTGACCTCAGTAAAAGCAGCTTTTTTCACTAAAAGTAAAAGTGTAAATTTAAAAAAATCTTTCTACACAGATAAAGACACTGAAAACATATTTTGAATTCTCTTGGGGACTGAAATTTCTCTTCAGAGTAGAATCTATAGTTAAGACCAGTCACAAGAATATTCTGAATGAATGTGAACCTTTCAAAAAGATATGCAACTATAACAGTTATCAGTTTATACTCACACCACTGGCTGTTCGCACTGGCTTGGCTTTGAGCTTTGGCAATAGCACCTATGCAAATATAAAAACAAAGGTTTAAAAAAAAAATCAAATAATAAATCCAATCATATTTTGATTAATAAAAAGGGATCACTGAGTTGTTTTGAGGACTAAGAAAAACAAATGTCTGTACAATTCCTTGAGTAGGTCAGCTTCAGCAAAAACATTTGAAGTTTCTGACAAGTTTTGCAATTTTATTTTCCTTAATTCCTAAAGTTTCATTGTGAGCCGTCGCACAGCAAACAACAATTTTTCAGAAACATCACAATACAGAAATAAATATTATCATTTTCACTGATGAAACGTCAATTGTCAAAGCAATGAAAGGATTGTATAAATGCAAGACAATTTTTAAAAAACAACATATTGTAAGAAAAGACTGAAAAGTGGAAGAGCATGATCTTGAAGAAGATATTTTGATAGCAATTCGCTTCTACCTTTTTGTATTCTTGAGGAACTGCAGCTATGATATCCACAAGGCGAGGCTGACTTGCCATGTTGTATTTGCTGGCAACTTTTGTCTTGAGTCTGAGAGGAACAAATTTATCAAACAAATCTTAAAAACGGTGAAAGGAATATCAAACCGATAACCTCAAAACAACAAATGGCTTAAAAAGCAGGAAAACTTTTCTGAACAGCTTTTTATTGAATAGTTGCATTACATCATAATATTCATGGGATGCCTTTGCTTGAAATTTGACTGAAGGCAACACTGAAAACAGACTCTAATTATCATTATAGCAAAATACTTTTCTTTTTAAACAAAACAAAAATTCACTTTATTCACATAAATATTTTTTATTTCAAACATGGTTAAACCGGAAACAGAAAACTGTTGCAATACACTAAGTAGGTCATTTCCTGAAAAACAAAACAGAAGAGATACACATAACGCAGGGAGGATGGATCCCCCCCCTTCAAAAATAAGATTCTACATATTGAAAATTCAATACTTTATTTTTTATTCATTAAAGGACAAAAAAAAAGCAAAGTTTCGAATTTTTTTCTCAGTGGGCCACCATAGCCTTGTTACATGTGTCACTGCAGTTTCATATTGCATGAACAGTTACATGATCTCAGTTTTTTAAACTTCCCGAAAACATCCGTGCTAAACGTAACATTATTACAGTGGTGAGCACAATGTCATAATGAATTGACACTAAAAGTCGGAATAGTTGTTCTTATAAAACTCACTTATTGAGATCCACATCCTTCCTCTCTCTGTCTGCCAAGATCAACTCTTTCACAATGTCTGTCACAGCCATTACCATAACTTCCTCCTTGGAAAAATTTGGAGCATCTGAAACAGCAAAACAGAAGTCCAAATTTTATCAAATAAAAGTACATATATTTTACTCTTCACTTCATCTGTCCTTAGTTCATTACATAACTAAGCTATCTACTTGCCTATTTTCACAAATTATAAATAGAGGGAATGATAAAGTGTAAGTTTACAATGAAAGAAAATCGGGGGTTACCTATAACACACATAAAAGAAATAGGTTCAACTTCATATCGAGAGCCGCCAAGTAAACTATGGCAAGTCATGTTTTTCAAATTTTACAGGAGAGACAAAAAAATTGATTTTCTAGAAGCATTTTGGGTGGATAAGGGAGCCTACAAATGGACAGACATTAGGCTCCCTTATGAAAATGAAGCCTGTCCACTCAAAACTTTTCAAGAAAATCCAATTTTTGTCTCTCCTGTAAAATTAAAAAAAACCACGACTTACCATAGTTTACTTGGCTGCCCTCGAATTATGATACTATGTAATATAAGTTTAAGGAAAACTTTGATTTGTGAACGTGCCTTAAAAATACTACATTAATCCTTTTTGTGTCATGACGTGGTGGAATCAGGTGCTAGTCAATTTTTGGGCATGTGGAGTTATTGGTATCATCTTAAAGCTTGTTCAGTTGTCTTGCTATTAGAGAAAAAAAAATGTCCATCTATCCGTGGAAACAGCAAACTTACATTTTTTGTGCTTTTAACCCTATCCGTAAGTCGTGTTTTACTATTGTATCCATACGACATGGAGAACTCCGTGCACCCACTTTCCAAAGAGGAAATTTACTCCTTTATCTGATCAGTACGCTTTGCATAGCAGTCTGTCAAAATGATTTTTTGAAGAAATACTGAAAGTTTCAAAGAGATCTTTGAACTAAAAGTATTTTAAGTTGTGAAGAATACAACCCCGGGGGTACAAAAAGACCCCAGGGCGTACGGAAAGGGTTAATCAACATTTTTCAGTTACATGTACCCAGAAATGTGTTCTTAATTGGGCAACAATGGTGTTAAGCGAAAAAACAAAAATTTGATAAAACAGCCAAATTGGCAGAAAAATGCCAGTTTCTTCAAATTCGTTATTTTGACAAGTGCCTGATTTCACCTCGCTGCTTCACATTTATCATTTAGATTATAAATCTGTAACATGGTCAGATACTTCAAAGACTGACATGTGTAAAAGACGCCATGTGGGGAACCACAAATTCTGCACCCACTCTGACAAATATAATTTTTGAAATTTTCTACCAATTCAAAACCAATTTGAGCTCAAAGCATCCATACCTACAGTCCTACAGTTTAACGACTAAAAAACTGAAAAAAAGTTTTATAATAGCTTTGACTTAACCCTCTTCTAGCTTTTGAACAATGGACTGTTCAACCTACCTTTCCTCTTGTTCTTGTTCTTTCCCATTTTGAAACCTGACACAAGAGTCCTTCTCTATGGGGAACTCACAATCTGGAGAAATACAGAGATATCAATATACATGCTTTTACTTTTACTTTCATAAAATTGAATTGTACTACCCACATTAAGCAGGAAGAACATAAAAATAGCCAAATCAAGACAAGTCTGCATTTAAAAAAAGAGGACTCACACAGATTACCCTTAAACTAAAGCATTTTCAATTGGACACCTGTTTTTAAAGTTGCAATATCCTCACTACTAAAAAGAGGAACTATAATGAGGGGTGGGGGTGCTGATTGCCACACACAAGTCATTGATCAGCCTCATGATCAGATTATATAATAATATATTATAATACCTCTTCCAAAAATACATATTATGGCAACAGGCCTGTGAAAGTGGACAATACACACTTTCAGAGGCGTTAGGATGGCGCTCATATGACCTTTTGCAGCTGCGAGCGCTGTAAAACCTCTACTAAAACAAACAAGAGGCGTCAGGTACAGTACAGGAGCAATGTGACATGTTCTGAATTGTAAGTCCGATTCCTGGCTCCGTGAGGTATCAGAGAGTTTTACCTGTACTGTAAAAGTGAAGAAGAGTCCCCAATTTTGAACTGCTTGACCTCGTGATGAACATCTGAGGTCACCGTGTGGGTTAAAGTGGACATGGGGTTGCACAGCTATTTATTATGAACAAGAAACTGTCGGCTGTGATTGCAGTAATGTACAAAAACATGGGTCATGTAGGGGTTATACTGTGCACTATACTTTAACCATTTCATTCTTTAGAAAAATACATTTTCCTTATTTCCCTCAGTTCAGTTCCCGGAAAATGGATGTTCGACAATCTGTAGAGGGAAACTTAAGAGAGATGGAATTTGTGTATGATAATGGAGTGAGCCACAATGCTGTAAAAATTGTCCTTACATACAGAGACGGAAGTGGCTGTAGAGCAGTGCTTAGGAATGAACAGTCAAACAGGGGAGGGAAAGGATGGATTTCAAAGTCAAGTGTGACTTCTTAGAGGATGACGCGCTACACAATAATAATAATCTAGTCAGACTGCAAAAATACAAAACTTAATCATCTTTACTGTTATTTCACAACATAAGCCTACTTCAATACTGCTCTCTATTCTAAAACTATCAAGGTTTAATCATCTCTGAATATTATTACTTTCTAAAGTACTGACAATCTCCAGTTTTGGCTCCAATGGCATGAAAAATATGCCTACTAGAAGACGTACTGGAATATTGGTAGTATCTTTGTGGGTTAGGGTGTCAGGTAGAGTTAAGATTAGGGTACAACAAATTAATACGGCCTGGGTAATACCTAGTGCACACTACCAATCTAATTCTGTTGAATTCATTCGAATTGAGTACTGTGGCTAGCCAGAATTTTCCCCAGTGAGGGGCAAAAGCCACACAATACATGCCTTTGCTTTTCATGGTCGCAAGTTGAACAATCAAGCCTGCTCGCAAAAATGCGGTTAATGTAGATTTGGAGAAACTCATACTGATAATCACAGATCTGGAAGAAAGTTATTCGACATTTCCCCATGTCTACAAGAGGATTCAAGCCCCTCTCAACACAGCAACTACAATATAAAAAATTATGCAGCAGTAGGCATTTGAAGCTGTTATAATGCAAGGATGGCAATCGTTAACAGTGTGCTTTGTGTACTATTATAATACTGTGCACCAGTCCACCGAGTTTTCTATTGCTTGTCAAATTTGACACACCAAGGGAGGATTCTAGCCTGGGCAATCTCCGGTTTTGGCCCTAAGAGTACAGCAATATCACTACTGACTTTATAATCGATATCGATACTGACTTTAACAATCAGTATCGATGTTTTATCTGAAAGAGAGCGAGAATGAGAAAGTTGTCACAGTAACTAGTAACTTACTAAAATTTCATGACCTTTTGTTCTTTTATTCACTAAAGGAGACATAAAACAGATTTGTTCCTACTAGATCTAGTACAGGGGTATAAAGTTGAATGTACAGCCCCCCTTAATTAATTTAGGACCATTGTGATTGTCCAATCCTCCCATTTATTCCTAATCCCCCTTTTATTCGATACCTTAGAGTACTCGGTATCAATGTTTTATCCGAAAGAATAATGAGCAGTCAAGTCATATTTCACATGTTTTTAGCAAAGGTGGTTTAAGCCTGTCCTTTTATTTTCAAAAAAAGCCTGTGGCATAGCCTCAAAGCTATATATGCGTCCGGCCCTCCCTCCTGTACGCATAGCCTCGCGGCTATGTGTACAGCCCTTAGATTTAGATAGAAGTATGCTTACAGCCCAGATAATCGCTCAGCTGGACTGCGTCACAAGACAAAGATCGTGTATAACAAGATAGTTCACCCCTCTATAATTGAGTCAATTTTAAAAAAGTGTCCTCAATATTTGGTGGTGCCCTCTTTGAAAAAGTGCGGACTTTGTGATCAGTGTTACACTACTTTTGTGAAAATAATACAAGTGAAACTTAACAAACTGTGCTATTCCTATTCTTCCTCTGGTGAAATGAAAGAGAGCTTAAAAACAAAGACTGCAGCATCATCTGAACCAATGTGCGGACTTCCGCAGACACCTTTTTGGCTGAGTGAACTATTTTGTTATGTTACGATCTTTGGCTAAGAGACGCTCTACGAGGTCAAGATAACTTGCAAAGTCATTGGTCACTATAATACTATAAACATTGACCTGTAATACGTCACTTTCCATATAAGGAATGCTGAAATTTTCCATCGAAAAAAGGTCAGCATCTATGCTCTTTATAGCTGCGCGCTTCCCAATCGAAGTAGGTCATCCCTATATATAGGGCCTGTGTGCTTCCCGGGTAGCCCGGCTTACGCCCTTTATCTGCGCACTCCCAGGGTTTAAGTTTGTCTACTTGTAGTGTCCGGTTTGATAGTCTATGTGCCGCCTACAAAGACTAGCTTATTATGTGAAGTGGAGGGCCGTACAAAAATAGCTTCAATGCATGCGTACAGGAGCCGTACGCATAGCCACTTCGAAAAAAAAGGGAGAGTGGGGGGTGTTCAGAGTTCAGGGGGAGTTTAACCATAATTTGATGTTTTGTAAATGTTCTTAATTAGATCTAGACTAGATCTAGGTCTGATATCTCGGGGTCTTTGGACATTGCCTTCCCCACATTACATGGAAAATTATCAGTTTAAAAATCATAATGATGGCTGAAACGGGAAGGCAATTTCCAAAGAGCGCCGATATCTCTTGCTCGCTGAACATCAACAAACATTATCGGCACGCTGGTCAGTAATCGTTTAGGGCGATTTTGTAGTTTCGTTCATTAAAGTCAAGATAGGGGGGTTTCAGTGCCCCCCTGAATTTTACCATAATTTGATGTTTAGCAGTTAGGTTGCATCCCTGTTCTTTGTGTTGCCTATTTGGTCATCAAGACTTATGGATATCTTCTATGGATGTAAACAAATGGATCATGGACTTTAACGAACGGAACTGCAAGATCATCTCATTTAAAACTAGCAGTAATCGTCGGTGAAGCCAAAACACATGAAGTTACAGCGAGCATCTAGTCTAGTAGGCTACACCTCTGCGATTGTCCCAAATATAGATGACATACTTCCGTCAGCTATTTCGGTCATTTTGCGGGGCTTCCCTCGCCAGTTGACTTAGTAAACAGCAGCAGCAGCAGTACCCCCCCCACCTCCCCCTGCAGCACCTTCAACTCCCCTTCCATACTTCCATGCCTAAATCTCACCACAGCAGGCCTGCTTTGCCGCTAGAGTCTAGGTGTGCGATGGGCTATGTAATTAAGCTTCATCGCTGACTGCTTTGGCTGTGTGTGCATGTGCGAGCGTGTGTGTGTGTGTGTGTGTGTGTGTGTGTGTGTGTGTGTGTGTGTGTGCAACTTTGAGGAGAAGGTAGAATTCTAAATTTATGTTCTGGTACTAGACAAAAACACACATCTGAGGAGTTACTGACACTGTCGCACTGTAGAGTAGTGAACGATCTTCTCATATAATATTAGACCTCAGGATCTTTTGTGCAGCAGAGCAGATGACAAGCCTGTTAGATCTACTTATGTGACACACAACATGGCACAGCAGCAGCACATGCAACTCGGACGAAATCAACAGGAAGTACACATTGTGATTGTATTGTACACACCCCAAATTTTTCCTTAAAGTCCGCCGCTTTTGTCTATATTCTCGCGCAAAATATTTCCTCGGTTTTTCTCTTTCTTCAAACCCATAGATGGAGTTTACCTGTAATTATATTTGTAATAAAAGTTGTTATTTGTGCCATAGGCCTAAATCTAGCCGTAATTGTAGAAACATTTTCAATTCTAAAATGTTAGGCCAACAGAAACAGGTATAGGCCCCCGAAAAAAAACTGGCCGTTATTCTCTGTGCAGTGTACTCTCTGTGTACTGTGTGGTCTGTGAACAAACTGACCTGGCTTGTCCTGCTCGACGAACAGCTGATTGAGATTGCCCTCTCTTCAGTGACAACTTTATTCTGATATTTGGATTCCTAAAGATTGCAAAATATGCCTGCTGCGGCCAAGCTTCTTCGTGCCATTATAATGGGCGCCCCTGGGTCGGGGAAAGGCACAATTTCTTCACGAATTGTTCAGGACTTTGCCATGAAACATTTGTCCAGCGGAGACCTGCTGCGAAAACAAATCCACGATAAAACTGGTCAGTAAAATCGGCGTGACCTGAGCCGAGGGCATCGAATGTTTTGTCTTTTTCTTGCTGCCGAGTGTAGACATACTCCCCATGTGTTTTTAATTGCCTGTAATTTTCTAAAGATAGTTTATCTGAGTCGCCCAGTTTTGCCAACTGAATCCCTTACTTTCGGCAAATTACCCTTAGGCCTACTTCTCTTCTGCTATCGCCAATTTCAATGACTTGACTTTGACCTTTACTTGAACGTGTCATTTAAAAATTTGCATACTCATTATTGCAACTGGCATTTGATTTAACTGTAGATTTCCATTTTTCTTTTTTCCAGAGGTGGGCTGCTCTTGTTACATGCTTGAGTTAGAAATCTATTTGTTTTAAAAATGGCTTGTGGCACTGTCTTTTTAAAACTTTTTGGTTTAAAATTGCTTTGCGTTGTTTTGTTGTTTTTTTGCTTA